TTTAAAAACTATCTAAACATGAAATAAATTAAATCAAATTATTTTACATATAATAAAATCATACATAAAAAATAATTTCATAAACTATTGCATGAATAAATAATATTACAACATATATTAATCTAAAATCATAAATAAAAATAAAAGTTTCATTCATCTTTATTATCGTCATCACCATCATAATCTTCAAAATCGTCTATTTGACCACGTTTATCAAAAGTGCGATACCACTCTCCTTTTTAATTCATTGTGCTTTCCTTGATTTATCAATTTTCAATTCAAAGGGCTCGTCTTGTGTTTTCGTCAATTAAAGTATATTTCGTCAATCATCTTGTTGTTGTTTATTATATTTTATTAGTAACAATTAGCGTATTAGTTAAAGAAAAAAACATGAACTAATCAACTTGATATAAAAAAAAATGCACAATTTAATTAAAAATAAGCATATTCATAATTATTAGAATTAATGTTTTTATAAAAAATGTATTTATATTTTGAGTATTAATTTATTAATTAACACTAATGTATCTACAATAAATATGCTAATAAGTGGATAATAACATGCAATTAGTTAAAATTATTATTTAATATGCTAATTAATAAAATGATGTTAATTACACCAAATCCTATTTTCACCTCTATATTTGATACGAAAAATAGGATTTTGTGGAAAAAAAATAGGAAAATGGTGAACCGGTGAGAGATAAAAATTTCTTCACCATAAAATTTGGTGGAAAATAGGATATGAGTATATGGTAATATAGAGATTGAGGGTGGAAGACTAGCAATGTTTGGTTCTGTTTTTATTTTGTTTTCATTGATTCCCCAAAACAAAATTATATTTATTACACTTCTCAAATAATTTTCTCAAAACAATCTCAAAAGTTTATCTCTCCTTCAGACATGATGTGACTGCTACTGTAAAATGATTTGACTGCTGCAGTAAAAAATGTCTTCACTAAAAAACAAATAAATATCACTTTATCTTTCAATTTTTTTCTTCTAAAATACTTTTTTCTAACACTTTTAAACATGATGTGACTGCTACAGTGTATTTTGTCTCCTTCCAAAATATAAACAAACATTACTTTCATTCTCAAATTCTTCCCCCAAAACACATTTTCTCAAAATGAAATCAAAATAAGTTCTAAAACGCTTCCAAACATTGCCTTAAAAACACCTAAATTAGATGAAAACAACGATATAGAGACCGGTGGGAGATGCTCAAATGACCCTTTTGCGTCTTCAAATTCTAAAATCTCTCGACTTTTGTTTCATTATCAAATCATGTGGAGATATCTCTTAATAAATATAGGGTAACTTTATCCTTTGAATAGAGGGTATTTTACACGTTGCCCCCAACTTTCAAAACGTTGCACTTTTTTTGTAGACTTCGTCGGTTGTGCCATGGTCTAGAAGTTGCCTATATTAGGAAAATTATGGTGGAATTAAAATAATAATTCCCGGAACCTGATGCCAATCGATCGTTCAAAGATCAATACTATAGGACATCTCTTAGATTTATCTTTCAATTTATTTATACGATACGATTATATATATAGAAATTAAAAGAATATGTCACCAAACTTGACACAAGTTCCCAGATCAATATCGCATTGTCCTGCAAGGGATGACCTAACTTCTAGAACAAGTGAACTTGTGTCAACTAACACAAGTTCGAATTCCCTTGTCAATGGTCGCTATCGCTATGTGGAGTTCGTCACACATGGTTAGTCTGGTGTGGTTTACGTCTCTCATACGGTTATGAAAACTATTAAGATATTTGTTATAATTATTGTTGAGGAGTATTTTATCTTTAATTTCGCAGGATATAAAATTGACTTTTACTTTGCTTTAGCGTGCAAGAAAGTGGCGAAAGTAACCATTAATAATTTAGGGACGACATATATTTAAAGATTGTGATAATGATATGATTTTTCAAAGGAGTTAATAAACTATAGTTTCTCAAACAAAATCTAATTACATTTAAATGACAATCCTAAAGTATAGTTTTTTTAAATACACTCTTATTTCAAAACATAATATGATCAATTTTCCTAAATTTTCTTTTATCCCAAACATGCTCTTATACCCTAAATTAGGGGTGAGATCGGTTCGGTTTTAGCCTCAAACAAAAATCGAAGTGGTCGGTTCTTAAAGAACCAAAAACCAAACTGACCGATTTCTTGCAGTTCGGTTCCAATCCGTTTCAGTTCGTTTTTGTCGGTTTCAGTTGCTTTTCGGTTAATAAATTCTCGGTTCGCTTTCAATAATGGTTCTGTTTTCGGTTCGGTATTGGGATCATTTTGGCCCAACAATCCAGCCGAAAAATGTCAATAAATTAGCTCAAACTTTAAGAAAAAAAAAAACAATAAAAAGTCACCCCAAAGATCAATTAATATTCATTCAAATTGAGCTGAAAAAATTGATAAATCCACTGCAATACTTCACACACAAAAAAAAAAAAAAAACACAGCAGCATTCATTCAAAGATCAGCTGAAAAAACCACAGCAAAACCAGATAATACATTCTTTCAACAGTAGCAAAAATCTACCAAAGTTTGTTTAGGAGAGCTTAAAAAAACTGCAAAATGAAGAACAATGCAAATACAAAGACATTGTCACCAACTCCCCCACGAGGCCACAGTTCCATAAATGTCGTAACAACCTAAAAAGTACATATAGCTTTAATTTTAGTTAGTAACATCAAACAAAGAAATCACATTTATATAAACAAGTTTACCATTTTAGAAACATCTATCTGGCATGGTGAAAAACTTCGATCCACTTGCAAATGCCTCTAAAATTACATATAATAAGTAAAAAAAAAAAATCACAATTGTATAGTAAATTAAATTAGAATACATAAAGAAGTATTTAAAAATTTGTACTTGTCTCAAGTTTTTCTAATTTTTCTTGCAAAAACTCCTACATCCATGCTTCTTGATTTTGCATCAGAAAGCTCAATGTCCGTCGGCGAAAACTGTATCCAATCTTGAGCACAAGCAAGAGCTTCCGCTGTCTTAGGACTAAGAAAAATCCTAAATGCATCAATAAGCCTACCGCCAAAACTAAATGCCGACTCCGATCCCACAGTGGATATCGACATTGAAGTAATATTATTGTGGTAAGTATTGGCCTGCAATATTACTGTCTCGGACAGTAATAACATAGTAATATTATTGTGTTAGTATTAATATTATTGTTTTGACCTGCAGTATTAATGTCTCAGACCGTAATGTTAGTGCTAGCACGGTATATTATTGTGTTGGTTGTTTAAGAAATAAAATTGCAAAAAAAAGGTTAAAAATATTTAATATTACTGTGAATATAATAAAATTACTTTGTAAAACAGGAAGATTACTGTGTTGTGTTCAGATCAATCATACTATGTTGACCGGTCAACAACAGAAAAATACAATAAAATAATAAAGAGTTTAGAAAAAAAAATAAGCAAATTTTCTTTTGAAGGACATGTTAGGATGTTTCATATGCTTGCTCACATATGGTGTTCTTGTAGTTGGTCCTTTGACTTTTTTTTTTTTTTTTTTTAATTTTTTTTCTTAATTTTATATTTCATTCATTTTTATTAGTTCCACAATGAAAAGAGAATACTAGGTCCTTTTATGTTTAATGATGATAAAAGAGATTTAAAACTCTTAAAAATCCAGTTCTTCTGAATAATTGACTTGTTCGAAAAATTAATTGATTAAACATAAACCAACTAAGTAAAACCAGTTGAATAACTCAATTGATTACATCAATTGTTTTATATCTGAAAAAAAAAAGAAAAAAAAAAAGATCACAAGTTAAAATGGTTAACGTGTTCGTGTTGCACACCGTGAACTGGTTATTCAATTCCCAACAACTTTGTAGATTTGAAGTGCTCTTATAATAATAGTATATTTGGTTTAAATGTTTCAATCGATGGAGATCGATATTTGGGGTAAACAGCACAGAAATCTCCTGTGTTAAGTAAAATATGTGCCAAATCCTCGTGTTTTTTTTTTCTTCCGTAAAACCTCCTTCTATTTCATTTTACGTTGAACGAAGTCCCCTTTTCCGTTAAAAGTTAACGCCGTCAACTATAGAAGAGATTTTATACATTTTTTTTATCATAATGGAGGGGGATTTAGTGTATATTTTTTAAAATACAAGGGGATTGTATGCAAAATTAATTTATTCGTTTAAATTTCATCTTATTTTCTTAAATTAATACGAACACATTTATTCAGTTATAATATGAAAAATAGAAATTTAAAGGGTGTTGTGAATGTTTTTTTTAAATCAATTTTTATATGATATAATTTATTAATGTATTTAAAAAAATTTGATTTTTAAAAATATAAATTATTTTATTAGAATTATTATATATTTTTATAATTTATTCTTGATTAAGTATATGTGAAAAGAACATAAATAATTTGAGAATTCGTTCCAACTTCCACCTCGAATATTTTTTTTGTTTTTAATAAATAGATGTATTCGACTTAATTTAAGAAAATAATTTAAAATTTAAATGAATAAATTAATTTTGAATAGACCCCCCTTTGTTGCAAAACCATGCCAAATCCTCCTATATTACAAAAAACTTACATTAAATCCCCTTCTTTATAGTTAACGGTGTTAACTAGTAACGGAATTTGGGATTTGATGCAAGAAAAAATGAAACACAGTGGGATTTTACGTAATAAAAAGAACATAAGAGAATTTGGTGTATATTTGTCATACCACAAGGGTTTTTTATGTTCTTTACCCCAATATTTGAGAGAGACAGTCTACTTACAAATAAACATTGCTACAGAAGAAAAAGCTAGCCCAGACAACAATTTATTTTTATTTCAACAAAGTTGTACACTTAGAAACTCCAAATCAAATGAGCTTAAATATGTAATAGGGAAAATAAATAATAATAACAACCATACAGAAGAAAAAAAGACACAAACAAGAAAGGATACATTTTATATAATATATGTCATAAAAAACGTATAAATAAATAGAATGTCGTCTCTCTATTTGACACGTCTGCAAAGAGTGAGCCCGTCTCCGATGGAAAGCTGAGCCAACTCAATACGTAGATCAGCTGCTAAGAAAGTGTTCAAGTGCATGATGTCGACTCTGACCCTCCTCAGATATTCCTCCATCTCGTCATCATCGGACGCTGCCACAGTTCCCGACCACAATGTGTTGTCGTACGCGATTATTCCTCCTACCTTTATCAGTTTCAATAGTTGTTCGTGGTAGTGGATGTAGTTCTGCTTGTCCGCATCCACGAATGCAAAATCGAATGTTCCTTCTTCACCCTGCATACTTCAATTATAATCAATAGGGTAAATTACAACCACCCTTGAGGTATGGTCAAATTACGAAAAAATTCCTCTTGATTGGATAATTACATCTACCCCACTCAACTGTGAATCTTCTTACACCTCCACCCTTATGGTGTCAAACTCAACATAATCATCTAGAGTCCGTAGAATGTGCTCTAGTTTGTACTCGTTTTGTGTAACAATACAGTTTTTGATGCACCAAAATTTGATATATACAAGCTGAAATACACATCTTATGATCATCTCGCTTCAGAATGTGGAGCTCGAATGGGATAAAACAGGATAAAAGTGATAGTATTGGGATAAAACAGGATAAAAGTGATAATATTACATATAATCTAGAAGATTCCACTAAATTTGAAACCGCAAAGGTGAACGTGTAAGAATATTTATAGTTGATAGAGGTGGTTGTAATTATCCAAAGAAGAGGAGAGTTTTCGTAATTTAAATTAATTAAGAAATATTAGATAGATTGAAGAGGAGATATTTTTACGTTGGCCTTGAGTTCTTCCATAACTTTGAAGGCATCAGATTGAATGAAGTGAATTTTGTGGGCCATGTTTGCCTTCTGAATAAACGGCAATCCAGTCTCGTATGCTTCTCTGTCTGGGTCAATGGCGATGATCTACATGTAAAATATACAGTAAAACCTCGATAAATTAATACTCAATAAATTAATAATCTCGTTTAAATAATGATTTTTTCTGGTTCCGACTCGGTAAAAAACTACTAAATTATTAGTTCGGTAATTTAATATTTTGCTAAATTAATAGAATTTTATTAGTCTCGACTGTACTATTAATTTATAGAGGTTTAACTGTATAAAACAAAAATAATAATTAGTTACAATTTGTTTTTTCTTTTTTTTGAATTAATTCATTTATTTATTGTTAAGTTTATTTACTTACTTTGCCATCTTCAGGGAGGGCAAGAGCAGTAGTGAGGAGTGAGTAGCCAGTGAAAACTCCAACTTCAATTGTTTTCTTTGCATTCATCGTTTTCAAGAACAATGAAATGAATTGTCCTTCGTCAGCAGTTACATTCATTATACTCCTGTTCAAATTAAATAAAACAAATCAAGAATTAATAATGAAACCTGCTATTTTCATCACCAAAATATCTTATTTGACTACTAAATTAATTATATTTTCCATTTTACCATTTTTTTTTTCTTCTTTCACCTATATATTTTACAAATTTATAAACCATTCACCACTAAACTAACTAAAATATTTATAAAAAAAACCCCAACATTTTCACTGGAATCGTTACCGCAAAATCTCACCCTTTCCACCTTAAGTGAATAATACTTTTGTCAGAAAAAAAAACATTTACGAAGATAAAAAAGAGCAGAAATTCACGTTTTTGGAGAAAAAAAATTAAGAGTGTTTGTATACAAGGTCGTGAACTTCCTCTAGAATTGGCCAGTTTAGCTTAATATAATTTCGTTTCCGAAAAAAAAAATTTAAATAATGGAAGTTTAAATGTCTTGTAATAAATATTTCATTACAAAAAAAAAATAATAATATAGAAATAACTTTGAACACATGAGGATTAAGCGAATATAAGGAACGGTGGTAGATTGTAAATTTTAGGGGTATTTGTGACATTTTATATACTTTTAGTGGTGAATTGAGATAATTTGGAGGTGAAAATAACACCACTCTTAATAATAATAAAAAAAGATTAAATTAGATTATTTCGAATATATTAGATTATCGTACCACCACTGATACTTGTTGACAGTAGCCATTCTTAGTTCTTTGAGTTGCTCATGCTCCCTCGGGTAAGCAGTTGTTTCCAAAATATACTGCAAAAATTTCGAAAATATATTATTAAAAAAAAATGAAAATATAAAATAACAAGTAGTATATTTAGCAACATACATAAATGTTATATTTAGTAAAGAAAATAAAAGCGGCGAAATTAAGAAAGAAATTTAATTACCTGGGCGAGTGCATCACTCTGAAGAATAGTCCCTGTAAACTTGTCCTTCATTTTCGAATTATTGGAAGGAAAAAAACAAAATATTTTTGACAAAATTGAGGCAAAAAGCAACAAACAAGGAAAGACAAATTAGTTAGTTTGATGAACTAAGTGATGATGTAATGTTTTTTGCTTTGAAAATTTGGATAGTGTAAGCTCCAATTTATAAGGCTAATTCTATTCCTAAAATCAATGCGGACAAAGGTGGTGGCCGAAGAAAATTTCAGAATTTTTTTTTAGAAAAAAAAGAATATCATTTTTTAAATAAAAAAAAAAAAAAAAAGTAACGATGGAGACTGGCGGTCAATGCCGTACAAGAGCCGAAGGAATTAGTTATTTTGTAAACTGAATTTGGTCTTAATAAGAGTGCAGATAAGTTTAGCCCAATGTAATGGTATGCAATTTGAATGTTATAAGTAAAAGTCGAATGATATAACACATATTATATGCCAACTCTACTCTAAAAAAAGAAGGAACAAAAAACTAAAATATTATATGTCAACCCTACTCTAAAAATAAGAGAAAAAAAAAAGAAAACTAAAATATTATATGTCAACCCAAACAACGTGTCGTGGTGTGACTAGTCTTGCATTTCTATTTTGTACTTCAAAAACCATTAAGAGATGCTCATTTGGTACCTAGTCCGATCTATTGCCTCAATTCAGACAATATATGGGCAAATTACAGCCACCCCTGGGTTATGGTTAATTTACGAAGCCCCCTCCTGTTTGGATAATTATAGTCACCCCTCAACTATGTATTATTTTATGAAAAACCCCATTCAGAGGTAAATAAATTAGGGATGTTAATTTGGTAAAACCGAACCGAAATTTCAGTACGCGACATTTCATACTGTTAACCGAACTGAATATACGATTTTGTTCTGTAAATAATCGAATTACATAAATTTTATGCAAAAATATTTAAAAGGAGAGGGGTGACTGTAATTACCCAAACAGGAGGGATTTTTTGTATTTAATCATACCTTAGTGATAGTCGTAATTTTCCCATATATATATATATATATATATATATATATATATATATATATATATATATATATATATATATATATATATATATATATTTAGGTCCACTCATTCCCCCCAAAAACCATATACGAAAACCTTGGAAAAATATCTCCGTCGTCCTCCACCATGGCCAACACCACCATCGGCGTAGATGAGAGCGGCAATTACGGCTTCGAGAGAAGCGACATGTACGAAAGCAAACTTGCCGGAAGTGTTGAACAGTACGAACGACACCTGTTCCTATGCTACAAGTCTCATGAGTCGTGGCCTACATGAGTCGAGGAATCTGATGCCGATCCTCTCCCTAAGCTTCTCGCCTCTTGCCCTAAAAGCTCGTAAAGAGGACATTAAACTCAAGGTCCGTACTTCAAAAAAAATATTAATAGCAGAATTGAATATATTATTTTAGTTGTTTATATTCTCACTGTCTTTAAATGTTGTGGAAAATAGTCGGTACGATCGCACCAAACATATTTGTTTTAAAAATGTAGCCGTTGTATTAATTCCATTGAAGAAGAAGTGAAAGTTGTGTTGTTTATTAACAGCTGTAGAATATACTATATTTATGCATAACAAATAGTCAACAAGAAAACCTAGGTTACTCTGGATTGATTTATAGATAATTCGTAAAAGTCAAACGTTTGAGGAAATTAACTTATAAATAATCAGATATTATTTAATTTAGGCTTAATCACACTTTGCACCCTCAAAAAAAAATTAATAACAGTTAACACCATCGAAACACAATAAAATAAGCATAATGCGCCCAAGGTGAATTTTTAAAGCTAATGTCAAATCAATTTCTTTTATTCATCAATCCTCTAGAAACTATAAAGTGCAAAATAAAATATGTCACATCAGCATATTTGAAAATTATACTTTCTATCACAAAAAAGTATTTTACAATATAAATAAAATCCCTTCAGCTTTTTTATTATCAAATTATTTGAAAATCATATTTTCTTTCAAAGATTTCTACCAACAATAAAAGATCCGACAATTGAATAATTTAGTGATAAAAGTCTATTTTGTTTTGATTTGTAAGAAAAGTATTTTTTTCAAATGTATAAAGTGTCAAAATGATCCGGTTTAAGAGTACAAAGTGGAATGAAACCTTTATTTTATTGTTAGAGGTCAACCCTATGTAAAAAAGTATCATGATTCCTAAGCTATAAAAAAAAAATGGAAATTACAAGCAATCCTAAACCAACTAATTAATTTAGAATTCAAGATCTAGAAATCTTGTCATGCTAGATGAGTTTGTTTTTTCCGTTTTCATTTATTCTATTTTTGTTTTATGCTTGCTTTGCGTATCCATACATAGTTAGTTAGATTAACCTTTTACCTGGTTCTTGTTTAATTTCTTGGAAATATATCAAAAAACATACATATACTGTTGATTTTTAATGCATATGACTATCTACTCATCTGTTAAGACAGACTACGTGTTACGACATTAGGTGTGGTAACAGAATTCTTGTGTTGTCACAGTAATAAATCTACTAAAAGTAGAATAAAGAACACAAGAATTTAATGTGGTTCGGATACAAATGTACCCTACATCCACGAGGACTTGCAAAACTAGTTCAGATTTAAGTGTACATTAAAAGAACTTAATAAAACACTAAAGACTCCCTCTTTATGTGATACGCCGTTCTTGCACATGACTCGAACTTGTTGATAATCAAAGTAATTCCTCCTCCGCACTCTTGGACTTCCTCCAATGTTGAACTTCTTTCAAACGGCAGATCGACCTCTCCCGAGATCTTTTAAGCACTTCTCCCGAAACGCCGATCTTCTTTATGGCCTGGTAGAAGAAACCCGTTCTGTTGCCACACCTGATGTGCCGACAGGGCTACAGCATGGGCTGCACCCTTCAAAGCCTTTATGCTGGGATTTTTGTTATTAAAGCTCCATGGGACTCATATAGGCACGAAATCTCCAACCTAAACCTAACTTGGGCCCTAAGAAATCGATTTAATAGGTAATAGAATCCTAGTCGATTTCTACTTCTATTCTAGATAAGTACAAAAGATACCTAACTAGAATATAATACATGGAAATAAATCTAAGTCCTAATAAAAATATTACAAGAATATGACTCTAATTAATTCCAAAATAAACATGGAAAACAAATCTTTGCCAATCTTTAGTTTCCACGTATGGCAGATTTCTTCAATCTTAACAAACAGAAATCTGGTGCCAACATATACGTTTTAAGTTTGATGATTTGGGAATTTGTAGACACGTTTGACCATATGCGAGGCAGGCGACAATGGGAAGTTGTCAAATGGAGACGTACTGATTTTTCCCGAAATGATTGTATACAGGTATGGACATACTTAAGGAATATATGCATTCATTACTAAATTATTGTATACAGGTATGAACACGTACGCCTTTGTTTTGGTTTATTGAAGGGGCTTAATAGAGTCCGAAGTCGATAGGTTTGTTGAAGATGTGCTTGTAAATGAAAATGTTAAGCTGTCTGGAAAGATCGAAAACTTGAGTGGCTGATACGTGTTCGTCTGTTGTCATAACAATCGAGACCGAAGATGTGGGGTTTGTGGCCCAATTTTGATTGAGAAGTTTAAGAAAGAGATTGGATCCAAAGATTTGAAGAAGCATGTATCTGTGACTGCTTGCTCACATGTTGGAGGACACAAGTATGCTGGCAATGTGATCATCTTTAGTGCAACTTCTCATGGAAAAATTGCTGGTAATTGGTAAGAACTACACTTTTCTCTGCTTTGTGTTTCACTTATTTTTGGCTAAATGTTATGTTCATGAGCAGTGGACCCATTAATCATTAGTAATAATGCTTAGCTTGACGCGATAAAGTTCCGGCTTAAGAGCTAAAATCGCAGATTTATCGTCCGGAATGGTGACAAACGCCGCTTTCGGCACCGGAACAATATTAAAAGTTGTTACTAAAAAGTCAAGACAATGTAGCTTGTTGGTAAGAATCTTGCACCTAGGACCATTAGGTCATGGGTTCGAGACACTAGGAGGAGAATTGGGAAACTAGTAACTATATCCTTCTTAAAAAAAAAGTTGGTACTAAAAAGTGACAACATTTTATATGCTGTCAGTAATTGCTCATTTTGTTGTCACTTAATAATTTTTATCGTCACTATATTATTATGTAGGGACAATTTGCTATAGGTCCCTCTATATTCTAATTTATATGTATAAATCCAAGTCAAAATTTCTATATTTTAATAAATTAATAATATTTATTGTGTCAAAAATACCCTTAGCCAAATCAAATCAAATCCCCCAAAAACCTCTCTATCAAAACAAATTCCCAAACATCTCTCTTGCAAATATTAACAAAAAATTAAATAAATTAGTAAAAAAAAATATACTATTTATTGTACAAACTCATACTCTAAAATCGACACCGTCTCCGCGCCACCGTCTGTCGTGAACTGCAAATAGCAAACTGACGCTTATGACTCTGTGAACTGCAAATAGCAAATGACGCTTATGATTCCGTTAACTGCAAACAACAAACTGAATATTAGAATTTGTATTATTGAATTGCAAACAACAAAATACCAACGATTCACCCAGAAAACAGCAAACTGGAAATAAAATCCAGAATTTGCATTATTGAGTTGCAAAAAATGATTACCTATGACTTCTCCAAATACAAACATCAAACTGAAGAAAAAATTGAATACGAGAAAAAACCGAGGTGCTCACCCCAAATCCCTTGTCGCCAGTCCTAACTCCGTCACAAATCCTAGAGCCACCGCCGCCGCCGCCGTAATGAACCCAATCAATTGAGTGCAACCAGTCAAAGCTCTCGGCGAGGATGGTAGAGACCGAGACGAAGATATTGTTGGGGACGAACCAGAAGGTGGATTCCGAACACCGGTGAAGAGGTGCATCAAAATCTCATGGATCGATTGCCGTAGAACCACCAACCAAGATCGGGGCGAGTATCTCCTGAATTGCCTTCCATCGTAACAACTGGAGAAATATAAATTAAATACAAACAACAAACAAGGTC